TATTAAAAATAACATGTGTAGGCCTATGTTAAATATTTATGAAAAAATAATATAAGGTAAGTATAAATTATCATGATAATTTAAAACTTTCTAATAACTTGTCTGAAGCCGTGATACTTGACATCCTTAAAACAATTAATTCCCATTCTAAATTAATGTATTAATAATAATAATAAGATAAAGCCTGGACTTACCATATTTAATTATGCATACAGGGTGCCTTTACAGAAGAACGGTGGACTTGCCTAAATGCTGTTGAACTTTATTCCCTCAGGTCATTGGTAACGAAAAGTAAACATATATTTATCAATTAATGGCATCAACCAAAAAATATTAATTAAAGAAAAGTTAATAAACAATTAATATATAGAATCCACAAATGAGCTGCAGTCATACAGGCAATACAAAAATAGTATTCAGCACAATCAAAAATTGTGAATGACATTGTGACCTGTTCCGACACTGAAAGCAGACTTAGAAATCTTAACTGTAATATTATAGCCAGCAACTTGTCATGAAAGTTGAAACAGGAAGCTTTTCAAAGTCTTGGATGTGTTTGAATATAGTTAAAAACAATTAACGCCTAGATATAGGCCTGCTTGTAGATATCATCTTCATTATGATATATGATATTTGGATTATTAGACTGCTCAAAATTTAATAAAGTATTCTAAACAGCAACAAAATATTAGAAGATTTGCTACTGTTAAATCACGAGCAGTTTGTCATTTTTTTAAGTGCTTTTCCCACGCTTTGCATGAACTGGTTGAGTAGACGCGCGTATATCCCTCTGATTTGCGGTTTGCTCTAATTAAATTGTGTCTCAAATGTATGAAAACAAGACTGATAAAAGTGCGTTTAGCTCGAAAAGTTGCAAAAAGTAGCAGCTAAATTTGGTACCATCATAAAGCTAAGGCTATACTGAAGATGGTGATGTAAAAATTAAAGCATGAATCCACATGAATCTAAACTTTCCCTCCTACTTTTCTAAAAATAGATTTTTAAATATTTTTTCTGTCGTTTAAACAACGATTTATTATTGATGCAAACTTCAAATTTAAACCAAAACATATATTTGTGTTCCCCAATTTATGTACAAGAAACCCGTGCATTTTGAAGTAATTCCGAATTTTCTGTAAGAAAAAAAAAGTTTTGATATAATGTAGTCAATTATAGCATTTGAAATATTTATAGAGAAATTTCCGACATTTGTTGAAAAATACTACCCTTAAAATTCGTTTAAATGTAAAATATTTTCAGGATAGATTCACCAGTGTATACCCATCTTCAATGATGTGAAAAAAAGTGTAAAAGCCATAGTCCCCAAAATGGACTTTTGGCACACTTTGTATTTCGCCCTGGCCCACTGTGCGACGCTCATTCGCGCGAATAAATTCGCCAAGTGAAAAAACGCCACGACATGAGCTGTTATTTCAAAGAAATGATTGACCCCTTTATTTTCATGCAATAGAACAACTATTGTATGACCTGATACCCCACAAAACACTAATAAATCAGACTTGTGTTTCATTTTAGGCCCAAACCTAGGCCAAGCGCAGCCGCCGAAAATGGATAATATTTCCTCCATGGTTTGATAAAACACCGTTCACAGGGGTCCAAAGCTTAATACGAATCATTCTGTAACTGCAAAAGATGTTTCAAGTGTAATTTGAGAAGCATACATTACTTCCCTCCACTCCACGGGAGAAATAATCATACCCACGGGCAAGCAGACACGTTACAAGCGGCTAGGCGCCGCGGATCAATTTTATCCAATGGGGACCAATTTTAGCGGTTAAAATCAACCCGGCGGACCCGGTTTTAGCGGTCAAAAATATAGCTCCGGCGGACCGACTTTGGCGGCCAAAATCTGTCCGCCGGACCTTTTTTTGTCCCGGACCAATTTTGGCGTGACAGGCCTATACAGAATATTGTTATGAAAGAAAATGTTCATGAAAAATCCAGATACACTACAATAAGGCAAAAAAATAAATATATATATATATAATTGTTTAGCGTCACACCCCCACCTAAATTTTCAAGCAAAATGAAAAAGTTTAGAGGCGGGAATTTTTTTTAATTAAAAAAAAATGAATATTATGTCCAGGAAATTCTAATCAAAATAAGTATAGACCTATTTTAAGTGAATTAAAACAATCATTTCACCAACTAGGTGTAATATTTATTGTAGGCCTATTGAAAATGATTAATTTTAACACATTTTATTTGAATACTGATACTGTAGAATAAAAAAAACCGCCCCTCCCCACAATTGTGTTGTGATGTGACGCTAAACAAGTAATTTTTTTTATTTGACCTAAAAATCTGCATATTGACGAACAAGATAAAATTAATACTGTAAAACAAAAACGCCTGTAAAAGGCAGCCTATTTTTTGTATATTGAGAGGTAGTGGCTATCGGCACTGCCGCAGTGCCGATTTGGCACTGCCGCAGTGCCAAAAAAAGCTGCTGTTTTCTATCGGCACTGCCGCAGTGCCAAAAAGCTGCCGTTTTCTATCGGCACTGCCGCAGTGCCAAAAAGCTGC